TTTATATTTATATGTATTTATAGAAGATATATTTATAAAAGATATTGTGGTTTTTGTTTTTGGGGTAGAGAGGGTTGTCATTCTTCTGATAAAGTTGTTCATGGTTATACATCTCATATTTGAGAAGTTCTCTCTCCAGAGTACCAATCACAAAAAAAAAAAAAAAAAAAAAAAAAAACAACATTCACTTCTATTTTTGTAAGGTTCCTTTAGTAATGTACAGCAGAGTGTTTTCAGAATAAGTACTCTGACTTCTGATTGCTCTTTGCTGTCCAGGATTATCAAGAGGAAATTGCTGCAGCCCAGAAGAACAAAATCCAGCTCCAGCAGATGGGAGAGCGACTTGCCAAAGCCAGCCATGAGAGTAAGGCGTCAGAGATTGAATACAAACTTGGCAAGATCAATGACAGGTGGCAACATCTTCTAGATCTTATTGCAGCCAGGTAAAACAGTTGGTTTGTTCCTATATGCTACATGGGACAGATTGATATGCTGTATTTCATGCATTTAAAATCTTTATATTGTCTACCTTTTAATCATTAACTGTGAATGAGTTTCTTCTTAACCATCAACACTTTTCTGTGAAATTCACCTTCCTGTTTTACTTTACAGTACCTGACATCATTTCTTCAAGAGTCAATTCAAAACCTTATCTGCTAGAACGACATAGGATCCGTTGCAGTCAGATTTAGTGAGCCTTATTACTCCAGTACCATCTTACTTCGGATGAGTACTAAAAAGTGGGTGCAAATGTAGTTTTTTAAAAAAATTCATGGCAGAGGAATCAAAACAGTAAGTTTGTAGTTTTGGATTTTGAGAAGAGCCCTTCCAAAACCAAGTCTTAGTTTTTTCTGTCTGATTATTTTTTTCACTGGTGGAGAAGAGTCACTGCAGGTAGACATAAGCACATTGGTCTTAAGGATTCTTTTTACTCAAGGTAAAAATATGACAGCAATTTTTGTAACATAAAGAAATATAGGATTTCTGTTTGCTATATGAAGAAACTGGTTTATTTGTTTCAATACTCTTGAGTCGTGCTTCAGCCTCCCTCCCATTGCTGACAATAATTTTCTCACAATTTTTCACTTCATAAAAAGTACATACATTTTTTATTTTACACTTCTGTGATGTAAGGGCATATGAATTAGTAATACTTAAGACCTGTTAGCAGCAAAAAGATTTGTTTCATTTTGTCATCTTTTTTCATCTGTTCTTTTTTCATATGGTTCTGCTCTGAAATCTGTAAACATGGGAGCAGTAAGTTTTATGTAAGCAGAAGCATTCTGGTGGCTCCAGCTCCTTTTATAGCAGTTCATTTTAAAGTAATGAACACTGTACTATTCTTCCAGAACAATTAAGTCAGGAATGGTGCATTATGGTCGAGAAGTCTGCTTGTTTTGGAGGATGTGATACATCACCAGTTGTTGAACATAAAGTATATTTGCTGTATTTTTGTGTTGTCTTTTGAAACACCTACTCAAGTAAATGATCAAGTAATACCTTCAGGAAGTTTCTAGTGAAAAACTATTGCATTCAGAAACTGCAAAACACATCTTTAAAAGACCTGTATTGTCTATTGAGTGTTAGAGGTTAGTGTCTTCTACAGGGACAGGTAGGGGTTCAGGATTCTGTATCATTCTTGGGGTAGGGGAGATATAAACTGCAATATTGTACACTTAACTTTCTCGTTCTGTTATCATGAAGCAGGGTGTCAAGTCCTAATTCTAAACTAATTTATGTAAAATATTTATTTACTTTTATTTCCAGATCATTTCAACTTAGCCTTTTCAACTAGCATGCTCAGCACTGTTGTATGCAATTAAACATACAACCCTTTCCATTCCAGTGCTTACTGAAGTGAAAAAACCCTGCAAAGTGTGAACATTGCATTGCTGAAATTGGGAGAGGTGGAGAGGTTTGATGCTATGTTGTGGAAATTTTGCTGGTTCAGCTGTAGCTTAGGCTGATAGCAGTTAAAGCTCATAGTTGATTAATGTGTGTACAAAGTACTTGTACTGATGTCTAATTTCCACTGGATAAAAGGGCTTGCATCCCCCAAGGTATTTTTCAGAAGGCTCCAGAGGCTCTTTAGGATATATTGGGGTGTGTTCCTCTTATGATATTTTGGACTTTGGAATGTATCCTGTAACATGAATTTTGGCTGCACTCTGCTAGTAAATGCCGATTAATTGTTCTGGTGTTGAGAAATAAAACACATCTTTTCGTACTGTGGATCCCCGACAGCACTAATAAATTATTACAGCCTGTGTGATTTTTCTGCAAAGCTACAGTCATCCCTTGCCTTGGGCATTTTTCTTAGTCGTGTATTTCCTACAGCTGTGAACTAACAGAAGGGGTTCCATGAAAATGCATTAGTAATATAGTATGGTAGTATTCATTCAGCTGAATCTTTACCTCTTGATTTTATGCTGTGCCGTGGAGCTTCTCCATTTAACTCTAAAGTCCCTTTCTCTTTCTCTCTCTCTGTTTCTCTTTCTCTCTCTCTCTTTCTCTTTCACTCCTCTCTTGCACTTTCTCACATTGTATTTCCTTACCCACTTGTTTTTTAATTGCCTCTCCATTCTGAGGAGGTCTGTAACTGCAGAATAGGCAGCTACAGAAAGGTAGTTGTGTCTCTGCAGCAGAGACTTCTGTTTCTGTCCTTCTAGAAGATTTTCATCCTTTCGATGGATTTTTCTGATATGTCAGCCTGGTGCAAAAAATGTTACAGATGTTTACAGCCAGGAAGCAGTGCTGTTGCTGCAGCTGCTCAGGCTTTGCCAAGGAAGCTTTGTTGTGTGTGTTTTCATCCCTTCCCCTAGCACTCACGGTCCACATTCCTGGAGATCAAGTCTGGCACATGGTGATGAATGCAAGTTTTATTTAGAAACATGACCACTTGTCACCATTCAGTCTCATGTTATCAAGCAACGGCTGCTAACATTTGTTTGGTGTGTAACATTTTCTGTACAGTACTCACCAGCAAAGAGAAGTGTGTCCCCTTCCCCCCCCCCCCCCTCCAAAGCACACAGTGTTTGCAGGCTTTTGGAGTGGAAGTTCTTCTTTTTAATGCTGGACAGTTTCATGGTGGTGGCGGAGGACTTGCATGCTGTGAGGATGGCAGAGGACGGCAGTGTGGATTCAGATCTCCCAGACTGTAATTGTGATATCACAAGGCAGGCAGCCATTTTCGTTTGCTTTTGATTGATATGGTTCTTTCTGAAGTCTTGGCTTGCTGGGAAACTAGTTGAAATATTGTGATGTGTCATTACCTTAGCTAGAAATCACTATTTTCTGCTTGGTTTAAAAATAGTTGACAGTGATAACAGCATATTTTGTTTTACAGCTAGTGCTTTTGGATCCCAGAATAGTTTTTTGTTACTGATGCAGACTTAGAACTAATAAAATCTCTTAGCTGCCTGAAAGAAACTGTAGACTGATTTTACTGCTGTAAATACAAGAGCGTGTACACGCATGGGGGAAAGCAGACTTTGTATTTGTCTGCTCACTGTTTGTGTCATCAAAGGGGCATGGCTACAAGCAAAAGGCAGAGGAGAGAGGCTGTAAAGAAAGTATTTCAGACTTAACTTACTGAAGCTGGTCAGTCCCGTACATATTAATGACTGTTCTGTAACTGCATGTAATACTCAAACTCAGCCTACATCACCCTGGATTTTTGATTCAGCTTCTTGTTTTCCCTCTTCGCATTATCTTTTCTGGAAGTTTTGCTGTTGTTGTTCAGAGTTCTAGGAATTTACTTTTTGAAAGTGGAAACTGTGGTCTGAAGAGCAAACATAACTGTCAATAATAGTGTCCTGGTATGCAATAGTACTGTACTTTGGACAATGAATCTTTTTCAATCATCAGAAGATTATTTTTAAACTGATTTCTTAAAAATATTTTTTCATAGTGTAGTATTCTCTATTTCATAGAGTATTTCTTGAAACTTTGTCTCCAGTTCCAGTTTATTTTTTTTTTAACTTTTCTGCTTTCTACAGGCTTTGTACAGACTTAGCTAGCATGCTCTTACTTTTTTCATGTTGCTTTTAAAGTTTAATATTAGTAACCAGCTGTCTAAATGACTAATGCAGTAGCTATGAGTTCTATATGATGCATTGATATATAGTTACAGGGTTGTTCCTGTTTAGGTTTAAGTGGAATCTAAGGCTGTCTAATATGGGACTAGTTGATTTGAAGTTACTTGTGCTTAATTTCAGCTCCCAAGTTGTTCTTCCACTGCCTTTTTACTGTAGAATAGACATTTTAAAGTTATAAATTTCTTGGGGAAACTGAGATGCAGTAATTGGAACACAGAAACATAAGCATCGTAAGCCTATTCAAAATTTCAGATGAGGTTTTGTCAGTAAACCATAAAAATAAACAATTGAGTTCTGCAGTGTTTTTACATTATGAGAATCTTCAGTTTTTGTGAAACGTAGCAAGACTGATATATGTGTGTTATATAAAAAACAATCCTTAAAACACCTGTATCATGGATCCAACCCTTTGTTTTAAATGTGGACACTTCATTATCAAGCAGAGGAGTTATGGTCCTGCCATTAGCATGGAAAGATTGGATTTTGAGCTGTTATATTTTTAAGGAAAATATATTTTTGTTACACACACATTATGTAATTATTTGTACATAGGCACAATGTTCAGTTAGATGAAGATCATAGGCAACTTCCCTGCTAAAATTCAAGAGGAAAACTCTTAGGCGTGATGGATTGCATCTATTATTTTTTTTCACAGATCTGTTTTCAGAGGAGCTAGAGGCACAACACTGTATTCCATTTCAGTCAAAAAAAGTAAGCCCAGCAGTCTCCAAGAAACACTTGTTTATTTGCTTCTGTCTGTACCACAGACAAGGAACCTGTTATGTTAGACTCAGTACAAAAAAAGAGCAGTTATTAACAGTAAATGTAGGGGGGGGGAAGGAAGGCAGTTGTACTTTGTTTTTGTTTTTCCTTTAACTTGGAATTTTGGCACAGAGAATTATAACGGTTTGACAGTAGGTTTTGGTTTTGGTTCGAGTGTTCTTTTAATACGTCACTTTTTTTCTTTTTCTTTCTTGAGTAACTTCAGTTATGTGACTGAAAATATCTCTCTTTGGGCTGGACTTGTTTTCCATGCTGGCAAGGATGTATTCCCATGCAGTCTGCCTGAGGCAAAGAGGGCACTTCCTAAATCACAGGGCCTTTATCAGGTGTTTCAGGCAAAATGTAAATAAAATCCCACACAGAGTTTAGGATAGTATACAATTGCAAATAAGAAAAGCCTGGCCCACAGCTTGGGCTTGTGAACTCTGGAGTGACATTGCTTCTGTACAGGGCTGGCATGACTCATTGTTCCCTTCCCCACTCCAGCGTGCCTGCAAAGGATCAGCAGCACCCAGCCTTGAAAATCTAAGCAGAAGATGGGCAGGATTTCACTCCTCTTAATTAATGTCAGAGACTGAAAAGCTGTATGTGAGTTCCAGGAGAGTGATAACTGACCTTCTTGCTCACCTTATGAACAAGTTTCAGTTGGTCCAAACCCACAGAGCACTGTGTGTACAACCGTAGGTGACAAGACAATGGTGCCCCCAGACTTTGGTTGTTCTAGTATGTCTCCAAGGCTAAACACATAGCTTTGTTTTGGGATAACCTGATTACGGGTGCTGGGGAAGTCTTTCAGCATGACTGTGTTGTCTTCACTCCCTTCATAGCCAGATTTTCAGATTATCCAGATTTTTTTCCAGTTACCAACCCTGCAGCTGTTGGTCATGAGACTCTGGCAGAGGAGATTCATTCAAACTGTTCTTAGGTGTGTTTGGTGCTAAAGAGCCACAGTTTGACTATCTGTGATCTAAAGAGAGGGCCAGAAAGAGATAAAAATTTGAAAGATTTAACTTTTAAGTTATTTAAGTGGACATTAAGATCTCTGCATGTCTCTTCAGTAAGAAAAGGACACCCATATTAGACTCTTAATGGTCAGCTGCAACTGCTGCTTTAAATATAGAAACACTTGATAAATTTGCTGGTTAGTATTGTGGAAAATATGTGAATTGCTCTATTTGATTATAGTATAGTCAGGTGGTATTTTGTTTGACAAATCTGGCAGTCTTGTATTTTTCAACTCAATTTAGTCAGTCTATTCCCAGCTGCACTCATCACTTAAAGCTTTCTGATATTGAAACATTTATGTGGAAGAGCAACAGAAGCATAAAAGGCAATGTTACTCAAAATTGTTTGTGGTACTACATAAACGCAAAAAAAAAAAAAAAAAAAAAAAAAGAAAGCTTAGAAACAATTTCAGAATCCACTAATTGTGTTATGTAACATAGGGGTAGGAAGAAGGGAGTTACTGACAGATACTTTTGAAGTTGAAACAGGCTGAAGGAAAAAATACCGAGATAGGATGAAGATTTAGTCACATTTCCTCCACATTCTAAGCTTAATGTTACCTTGAATTAAAAAAAAACACATTTCCTCCACATTCTAAGCTTAATGTGACCTTGAATTAAAAAAAAAACCCCACTATTTAATTTGTCCTGGCCATTGCTGTTGCAGGATCAGGGTCTCAAGAAGAATACTACTTAGAAATGGCCGTGCAGTTATATTCCAGTTTCATCTGTTTATCTCAAGAAGAATACTACTTAGAAATGGCCATGCAGTTATATTCCAGTTTCATCTGTCTGAATCTGAAGGAGTCTGTTAAGACCAAGAATAACTTAAAATAGTCCTTGGGATTGAAGAATTCTCACAAAGTTCTCAACTGGATTTCTCTCTTTAAAACTTATTTATTCAAGGACAAGTCTTCAGTCTAAAACAGAGGGGTCATAGATCCCCCATCCCTGGAAACGTTCAAGGCCAGGTTGGACAGGCCTCTGAGCAGCCTGATTTAGTTGAAATGTCCCTCCTCATTGCAGGGGGGCGACTGGGACTTGGATAACCTTTAAAGGTCCCCTCCAACCCAAACCATTCTATGATTCGTCCATAACAGTAGACTGAATTACTTGTTTTGGGATTTTGGTGTGTGTGAGTTCGTTAAAATAAAAAAAAAAAAAGTTTTCATTTCTTAACAAACATTTAACACAACTGATAAAGGTGCAGAGACTTAGAAAATATTGTCTGGCATTAGTAAACTCTTATTTTTTCTTAACCAGAACCTATGAATGCAGGACTATTTGCACATATAGTATACTTCTGTTACCTAATAAAGGAAAACTTCAGAACAGAATTTGTCATCTTAAGTTTCTCTGAAAACCTCCTGAAACACATGCTGTAGAAATTCTCCTTCAGGGTCTACTTATGCTGCTGTTTCTTTTTCTTTACAGGGTAAAAAAGTTAAAGGAGACCCTTGTTGCAGTGCAGCAGCTGGATAAAAACATGAGTAGCCTGAGATCTTGGCTTGCCCACATTGAGTCAGAGCTGTCCAAACCTATCGTCTATGAAACTTGTGACTCTGAGGAGATACAAAGGAAGCTAAATGAACAGCAGGTAAAATACAACGCATTTAGCAGGTGCACGATGACATGGGGAGAAGCAAAGTAGAGTGTCCTTGGGCTGCATACCCAGCTCAATGCTGAGAGGGCTTGAGGCAAAGAAGTATTTAAATATCAAGGCAAGTGGTACTTACTGTGTTACTTATAGAGCCTTCTGCTGGCTTTGACATCGAATCTACCAGGAGCTGATTGACATTTCCAAGAAAGGTAAGGCACCAAGAGATGTAACCTGAACGAGTTATTGCAGTTGTTTTTCCTTTGGGGTTTGTGGTTTTTGTTTGAATTGTCTGTTCCCAGAGGCAAAACTGACACCTATTAGACCTCGCAAATTTTGCACATGCTTGAAAATTACTATTTTTTAGCAACCTTTCTAACTCATTTTTATTTTGCAGCTTGTTTGAGAATCACTTTGCACGCAAAGATGCATGAACTATACATGTGAAGTTAAAATTGGTTGTTTAATAGCACACAAAGCCTTTATGCAGTGCTAGAACAAAATAGTCAACACTGGAACGGGCAGAAAAATGTTAAGTCAAACAGATTTTGGCAATAAAACTAATGTTACTCCTAAGAAGATTGACTATACTTTCTCATTCCTATTCCACTTGACTGCGCATTGCAGTTTTACCTGGAAGCACATTGCTGGGGAGGACTGTTGTTCTGTTGCGTTCCTGTTGGTTATTTATTGGCAAAAATACCTTTTTGGTGCCTTGCTGGAATGAGTTAAAAGCTCTCCTGAGTTCTTCCTTCAGAGGAGAAAGAAACACGTGGGAAGAGGAGTGTGAGTGCCAGAATTTTTTTGGGGATAATGAATTTCAGAAGTGTACAAACTGTCATTTTGCTCTTTTAAGCTGAGTGTGGGAATGAGACCCAAGCATCCCCTCAGAGTTTTTGCTGGCTCCCCAACTGATTTGCTACATGGCTATGCAGAATTGCTTATTAATATTCTATATGTAATTTACATAGGGACAGTAATTTATAACACACAAGCATCACCCGTGAGTGGTGTTTCTGAGACAATGAAGTGCTGGGCAGGCTAAACATTGCTATCAAGAAAGTAGGCACTTGGTATTTTTTACTAGCATCCCTCTGCAGGCATCCCACAGTTTGTCACAACCACTCCTTATGGGATTTCCTCTGGGCACAGAAGCTGGTGTATCTCTTCCTTCTGCTGTTTCCTTGTGGTGATCCCCATGCAATGGTAGTGTAAACTGGTATTCTGTAGAAATGTGAGTGGTTTCATTTGAACTCCAAAGGGGAGAAATAGAGGTGAATCTCATCCTAGGATGATGCCATGTTTGGAAACTTGATGTTGATTTGATTTGGTAACACTGCAAGCCATGTTCATAATAATAATTAAAAAAACCCACCCACATTCAATGTATGGCAGCCAGTATTATTATTAGTCAGAGGCTATATCACTATCCATGGCATCTCAGAATGCCAGTACATTGGCTGTATTCTCTTTCTTTTTCCAATAGTGATCTTACGTTCTTTTCCATGTTTGATCTTCCACTGAGGTCATGTTATCTTCCCTGCTTGTACTGCTTCCTAGTTGCTCATATACAAAATTATGTTAGAAATACTATACTGTGAAAGAAGAGAGCCAAATTCCTTTTATGTACCTTCCTTATCTATTTGGCATCTACTTAAGCCAAGAATCAGCTTTGCAGGTTGCTGGTCTCTGTGGTGAAATTAAAGATACAATTAAAGCTGGATATCATGGGGAAGGTAGGGTAACTTCACTGCCGTATTTTCCTAGGGTCACAAACTTCATTTCAAGGATTACTTCTTTGTTTACTTTCTCAATCTTATACCACTTAAAATATGGGAAAATAGGTGTTTGATTTTGGGTTGATAAAGGGAAAAAAATAGCTGTATGTGGGTAACAGCAGTGCATAAAAGTGATGCTCCTTTGTGAACTAACCAAAAGGCTAAACGTTCTCTAATAAACATAGAAAATTTTAAAATCTGGGAAAGAAATATAATGCTATGGAGGAAAAAACATTGCTTGTACAAAGGCTCTGAAGGTGAATAAAAAAGTTTAATCTTTAGGAATCCTCAGGACCACCAACTGGCAGTTCTTTCTACTGCTCTACTCCAAAACAGCAGAGAAGAGATTGTGTTACCTGAACTTGCTTAACCTCTCATAGCTGTCTGGAGTATGTGTTTCACAGAGTATTGCATCTATTTATATTATGCGCCCTTGTATAACATTTCAGGATGGGTGGAAAGAAGAATAAGCACTTGGACATCATGATGAAAGAGTACTTTCCAGGCAAGTGAAAGTGAAAGGGCCAGCACTGAGGAAGAAAATATTGTAATTTTCCACTTGATGGTCTCATTTGGATGTTCACAAAACAGCCTTCTGTTTCATAGATGAGAAGAGGAAATAGATTACTTGAGTCATTGAGTCCAACCCCAGATATCAGAAACAACCAAATCAGATAGTTGATACAGGTTGACCTTGCTCAGTTTTAAATTTGCTGAGGTTTTTAGATTCTATGTTTAGATCTCATTTCCTGCTGGAAGGCATTTTCAGAACATCATATTGCTAATTGTAAGAAAAGTTCCTCTAGTTAGATATTAAATATATGTAGGTACAATATGTTGACACTGTATTTCCCTTTGCATGTTATAATTTACTTCACTAGCAAAATTATAAAGAGCAGTTCATACTACTCATCCTCAAGCTGCCGAGTTCTTATTCTCCTAAATAAAATTCCACATCTCTGATTGTCCCAATAGTTCTTTTCTTCATCCGAATTGGAAGTGAACATAGTATTCTAGATGCAATATATAGCTTTTTGGTGTAGTCACATTAGTACTTCACTGTCACTATAGGAATTATGAGCTCCAGCAGAGGTTCTTTTCCTTGCACTGATCCAACAGAAATAACCAATTACTTTTGTAGCTTGTCTTAACTTGAACCTGTAGTTCCAAACTGAAGCTGAAACATTGCTTTAAGATGAAGCATTACCATCAGTGTAGAACAAGCCATTGCAACCAGGAAAAACCAACAGCAGAAATAATACCGATCACATATAATAAGTGCTAAGACAACATAAATGTGTTTTCTTTAGCTGTCCTGAATTTTCCTTTCCCATTTCCAGTGAAAATGCTAAATAAATGGAAAATTGAAGGAAGAAAGATCTCCTACTAGGGATTCACTGTTCAACATGTGCTGCTGCCGCTCCCCATGTCAAACATGCCACTTTGCAGATAGCTCACCTGGGGAAGAGTAGGTCATGAGAGGCACCTCCACCAAACCCTCACAGTAGATAAGAATGTATTTTCTTGTCACACTTCTCCTACTAACTTCTGCTTTACGTTCTCTGTGATAATGGAAAAGGACCAGGCATGGTTCCACCATTTATTGGTGATGTTGATTAAATGTATGTGAAAGATGCTCAGCAGAGCATGCAGAGCTCTGGCAGTTTGTCCCAGGTGGTGGTCTGGTGTTTGTAGTCCCTGGGAGAGCTGTGCATGCTGCCAGGTTCTCCTGGCCTCATTGATAACATTGCAACACCACTTGGGCAGATGCAGTCTCTTAGGTATTCATTGGATGCTTTTCTCCTGTTTGCAAGCTCATTAATTTTTTTTGTTTTGAATAAGTAGAAGAGAAATGCATTTGTATTTATACATGTTTTGCAATTTCTCTTAAGAATGAATTTATTCACCTACAGGAACTTCAGAGGGACATAGAGAAACACAGCACTGGAGTGGCATCTGTTCTCAATCTGTGTGAAGTGCTTCTTCATGACTGTGATGCCTGTGCCACAGAAGCAGAGTGTGACTCTATCCAGCAGGCTACCCGCAATCTGGACAGAAGGTGGAGGAACATTTGTGCAATGTCAATGGAAAGGCGACTTAAGTAAGTCTGAAATGCCTACAAATTAGTATTTCCTTCCACGGGCAAAAATGCAGGATAGGATGTACGTGATAGGGTTGCAGTACTGAAGAAAAGGGTGTAGGGGTCAGAAAAAGATACGCTGAATAAAAGCCAATAGCTGCTATGCCTTTGATGAAAAGATGTCTTATTTCCCATTCTTCATAGAAATTATGAGAGAAGCTAGAGAAAGCTTAGCAGTGACTCCCAAGAGATTTAGAAAACGTGACCTAAGAGGGAGAGTTGCAACACTTAAGTTTACCCTAGAACTGCTGAGACTGATGGGGAAACTAGTTATCAAATGGGTGGAGTGCTATTCCAGGTGTTAGGGTTTTTATGCACTAATATTGCTCCTGTGTCTGATTTTTTTTTTTTTTTATGTTGGGAAGAATTTTAGGACTAAATAGTCATCTGGATTTTCCTCATCTGCCCACCTTAGCTTTGCTGAGCAAGTGTGGGCCGTAGAGCCTGCACTTCTTGGGTGTGGTCTGGTTTACTGCACATGCTTAGACCATCTGTACAGCGATATCCAGAAGATTCCTTGTTTTCTATTCCCATCTGGGGTGGGTGATTTTGATAGCCACTATGATGCAGCTGGATTGGGCCAATGCTATATACTCTTTGCTGACGATTAATAACACATGTTTAATTGTTTGAACTCCTGCATTTATGAAGATATTTTGTGTATCTTTTTTAAGTTATGAATCTGATTTCTGTGATGTTTACACAGTCATATCAAGAAGTCTAGGTAAAGTTTATGACTTTTCCAAATGCTGAGTTGAACTTTATATGATCTTTGGTTTTGTGGGATACTCTTAATGTATTTAGTAAAGGTTTTCTTTATTTTATGCAAAATAAAATGTTGCTTTTAAGTTGTGTTGCTCTATATCCACAGATTTCTATCTTTAAGTAATTTTATACTATTGCCATGGTAATTCTTGTATAGTGTGTGTGTGTATATATATATATATATAAATACAGCTTGTAAGTATCTATCTTGACAATATACAGTTTCTTCATACCTTGATGTTCAGCAAATTAATTCAGGACTCTTTTAAGTTAGTGTGGAACGATGCATTGAACTCTATTTTACCTTCTTCCAGTGTACACACTATACTGTTAGGAAATTTGTACCAGTAAGTTAGCTGAGCTATCAGTCTTTACAATCTTTATTGTCTAGAAACAGTTACTCATATTAAAAAGTAACTTTCCAGATGTCAAACTTCAGGTTAAGCAACTTATCATCAACAAGGCATAAATTTTTAATTTTAATTTCTTAATTTTTCATTTTTAAGTTTTTAATTTTCAGACCTTCATATCTAAGATTTGGGAAAGATGTATTCTGTATGTAAAACCAAACAAAGTTCTGCTGTAATACAACCTGTCCCAAAAAAGATCCTGTTATTTTGAATCAAATGGTGCTGAAGTTCTTGGGATTTTACAGTCTCAGTATTAAGCCAATTTGATTTCAGGATCAAGAGTCAGCCTTTTTATATTTTTATATATTCAGTTGAAGTCACATTGGGTTTTTTTAAATGTTGGAACAACTTTTATTTAATAAAAATATGTTTACAATTTATATTGAGAGATAGCATTTTACCTCTTGTGGGTGAATGAAAAAAAAAATGTTTGTCCCCCTTTGCCATACAGAATAATTTACAATAAATACATTTACAATAAATTACAATTACAGAACTGAGAACTTTAAAACATATGGTGCAACATCTTTAGCATTCTGTAAGAAAAAGTTCTGCAGTGGAAGGTAGTGTGGAATTTCTAATCTCTGAAATGCTGGCTTAGATACCTACACTGCGACTGTATTTCAGAAGTTATTTAGCATGTGCTCAGATTTTTAGAGCTCCTATTGCATAGTTATAACTTTCTTTTTATACTGATCCCAAAATTAGATGCATGAAAAAAAAAAAAAATGCCATCATCTTATTCTAGCTCTAGCTCTTATTCTGGAGTGAGCCAGCCTTCCCTGTGGTCTGTTTATCGGCCTGGCTGGGTTAGATTAAGAGCCAGTTATTGTCTGGTGCAGCGCTAGTTTCCTGTTGTCGATGATTAGTTAAAGTTCTGTAGGTCAGCTGGCCTTCAGTCCAAGCATTCCCTAATTTTCCATTATCTACTGCAGAATTGAAGAGACATGGCGGCTATGGCAAAAGTTTTTGGATGACTACTCTAGATTTGAAGACTGGCTAAAAGTCTCTGAGAGGACAGCTGCTTTCCCGAGTTCCTCTGGTGTACTTTACACAGTTGCTAAGGAAGAACTGAAGAAATTTGAGGTGATTTATAATAGCTGAAATTTAATATCTACTGATCACATTGCAGGGGCCACCTGGTGTTCTTCCTTCTCATGCACAAGTCACTCAGCAGAGACACTGTATTAATATAGTGGAGTTGGTGATTTTGTAGCTGCCTTCAGTGGCCGGTTTCTAGGCTGAAAAAAAAGTGGAAGGTGGCAACTGAAAATGCTAATAAGTCAATCCACTGTCACTTGCTGTTTGTTCACCAAAGTTAGATTTCTCCCCTTTTTTATTTCCGCAGCTTTTTAATATGTCCAGTCAGTAGGTGTTCCAGAGTAGTCATAAATCTCCCTTCACCAAGTACCTCTTCAAATGCATGCTGCACGTGCTGGTCTTTGTTTTGATTTTATCCTTCCTCCTTTCTGTAACTCTCTGAAACCAGCCCTCTGAACTCCTTTCCTGTTTTATACAATGTATAATATCCCCATTTTAGATTGTTATACTTGAAATTCATGTTTGTGCAAGTATTGTTATATGTCCACATGGTGTCCCCTGTGACTTAAAAGTTAAGTGCATGCCTCAGAATTGACAAGCTGTCACTTCAGTCAACGGTTAAGAGCTTGTTACATAACTCCATTGTGTCTGCTGCAATGTGGTGGCTTGTCTTATAATTACAACCAAGTGTATATCTGTGTGTAAAGCACACACACGTCATGTTGCCGGTCACATGTGAAAATCTTTTGTTCGGTTTTGTATTTGCAAGGAGTATATAAAGATGAGAGAGAAAAATGGTTCTGAAGAGAGAGAACAGATTGTTAGGCCATTCTGTAAACAGTCAGGTGCTGTAAAGTATTTGCTGTGAAGAAGAAATGCAAATTTTAAACAACCTCTAAGACCAGTTAATGCTTTTTGGTTTAACAATTGATTCAAAAACATAAACTGTGAAGCGCCGAGTCAAGTTTTATAATTGACATTCACATTTCTGAATATACTGGCCATGATTTGCTGTTAAACACTGCCAGACGTCATTATGGTGAGGTAGGTTGCCATAGTATAAAAATGTTTTCTTCCTGGACACAAGTACTCTGTCTCAGACTTCCTTCCCATTGTCCCTTTGTTCAGTCATCAGGATCTGAATCTCTTGTTTAGCAAGTCTTTATGAGAAACAGTACAAAAAAATACCTTGGCTGTCTTTGATTTTTACAGCTGATCTGACTTTTCCCGAAGTCTGTTTCACAGAACCTTGGCCTTTATGGTGACCTTCCCTCTCCTGCAGACTTGTGGAATTTTTACTGCCTGCAGACTGTCAGCAGGA